CTTATAACTCGGCTATCACCAGCAAAAGTGGACAATGAATCACCAATATTTTTAGAAAGAATATATGGTGATATATGTGGGCTGATCCACCCACCGTGCGGGCCGTTTAAGTATTTTATGGTATTGATTGACGCATCTAGTAGATAGTCAAATGTATGTCTTTTGACAACACAAAATACGGCTTTCGCAAAGTTCATTGCTCAAATAATAAGGGTGAGAACACAGTTCTCAGGATATGCCAGTAAGAAAGTAAGGTTTGATAATACTGGTGAACTTAACTTGCAAGACTTTAATTATTATTGTATGTCAGTGGGGATTGATGTAGAGCATCCAGTGCCCCATGTTCATACGCAGAATGGCATGGCCGATTCATTAATAAAACGGTTGCAATTTATTGCAAGGCCGTTGATCTTGAGGACAAAGCTCCTAATTTCAATATGGGATCATGCTATTTTGGATGCGGATGCACTGATTCAGCTAAGACGGAGTGCATATCATAAGTACTCCGCATTACAATTGGTATATGGGCATGAGCCAGATGTATCCCATCTCCGTGTCTTTGGGTGTGCGGTCTATGTTATGATAGCTCCGCCACAAAGAACAAAAATGGGCCCACAAAGGAGATTGGGAATATATGTGGGTCATGTGTCACCAAGTATAATAAGGTATTTGGAACCAGTAACTGGTGATATGTTTACGGCATGGTTTGCCGATTACCATTTTAATGAGGAAGAATTTCCAGCGTTAGGGGGAGGAATAAGATAAATTCCTAAAGAAATTACTTGGTGTACACCATCGTTGTTACACCTTGTTCCCCTTACGAATCAAAGTGAGCTGGAAGTTGAGAAAATTGTGCATTTGCATAATTTGGCAAAACAGTTACCAGATGCGTTCACAGATACGAGATGAGTGACGAAATCATATATACCCGCTGAAAATGTGCCATAAAGGGTTGTTTTTCCTGAAGGGCCAACTGATGGAGATTCAATGTATGAACCTAGGGTTCAGTTAAAGAGGGGGAGACCTGTGGGTTCTAAAGATAAAAATCTCCGAAAGAAAAAGAGATTGGTTGAGCAAAAGGGAAGGTTCTAGAATAACCTGATATTGAAAGATGTCTGAAAGAAGGCATAGATGAAAATGTGCAAGAAGAACCAAATAAAGATAAAGATCCAGAAGACGAGGAGTGAACAGAAAAGTATGAGATTTCCATCAACTACGCCCAAGATGAAAATTTATGGATCAGAAATAAGATAAAAGATGTTGATGGAATGTTCTCCTTTTTCTGTGTCCAAAGAAATAGATCACGAAAGTGATGATCCTGATCCAAGGTCCATTTTATAATGTATGAAAAGACATGATTGGAAGGAGTGGAAGAAGGCCAATGAAATTGAATTACTCTCCCTAAATAAAATAAATGTCTTTGAACCTATAGTCATAACGCCTGAGAATGTAAATCATGTTGGGTATAAGTGGGTATTCGTGAGAAAACTAAATGAAAAGAATGAAGTAACACGGTATAAAGCCCGATTAGTAACCCAAGGTTTTTCTCAGAGACCGGGAATTGATTTTGTGGAAACATATTCCCCGGTGATGGATGCAATAACGTTTAGATTTTTGATGAGCCTTTCAGCGTAAAAAAATCTTGAAATGCATCTTATGGACATTGTGACTGCATACTTGTATGGATCATTGGATAATGATATATACATGAGACTCTCTGAAGGATTAAAAATGCAAGAAGCAGTGAAAGAAAAAATACAGGGAGATTTGTTCGGTCAAGTTACAGCATCACTTTACGGTTTAAAGCAGTTTGGACGCATGTGGTACAATCGCTTAAGTGAATATCTCTTGAGAAAATGATATGTAAATAATGCGATATGTCCATGCGTTTTTATTAAGAAATCGTCATCTGGCTTTGTGATCATTGCTGTATATGTTGATGACCTGAACATTATTGGAACTCAAAAGGAGGTTGATGATGCACGAGCTCATTTGAAAGAAGAGTTCGAGATGAAAGATCTCGGAAAGACGAAGTTTTGTCTTGGGCTCCAGATTGAGCATCTCCGAGAAGGTATATTTGTGCATCAATCAAACTATACGAAAAGGTTATTAAAACGCTTTTGTATGGACAAAGCAACTCCTTTGAGTACTCCAATGGTTGGTAGGACTCTCGATGTTGAGAGAGATCCTTTTAGACCCTGTGAAGATAGCGAAAATATGTTAGGTCCAGAAGTACCTTACATAAGTGCTATCGGTGGGTTGTTATATATTGCAAACTATACCAGACCTGATATTACCTTTGCCACTAATCTACTTGCAAAATATAGTTTGGCTCATATTCATAAGCATTGGAACAGAATCAGACACATATTCCGTTACCTTCAAGGTACAGTTGATCTAGGGTTGATGAATTTTAGAAAACCCGAGTTTGGTATAGTTGATTTTGCAGATGCAGGATACTTATCAGATCCTCATAAGGCTCGCTCGCAAACCGGCTATGTTTTTACAACTGGTGGGACCGCGATCTCTTGGCGTTCCTAGAACCAAACTCTGGTTGCAACATCTTCGAATCATGCAGAAATTATTGCACTTCACGAAGCCTGTCAAGAATATGTGTGTCTTAGGTCCATGAGTTATCACTTACAAGAAGCAAGTGGAGTGGTTAACAAGAAAGAGCCAACGAATCGCTCAACTCAAAAAAGGCTACATAAAAAGCGACAGAATAAAGCACATTCCTCCAAGATTTTTCTCTTACATATGGGATCTCGAGAAAAATAAAGAAGTGGATATAGAATATTACAGTCATGTGACAATCCGGCTGACTTGTTCACAAAGGCCCTTCCGACTATAACATTCTGAAAACACGTCTACAGTATCGGAATGTGACATTTGCATGACTTATGATAAAAAAAAAGCTATGTTCATTATGCTCAAGGGGAGATTATGCCAGTGTACTCTTTTTCTTTTTTAGCCAATGAATTTTTCAATGATTAAGTTTTTAACAAGGCACTACATAATATAAATTGGATAATCAAAGGGGAATATTAAATATTAATGGTTATCCAATAGACACTTGTCATGTTTTTATATCAGATGTATCACCATTACGTGTCTTGTATATGTAAAAAGAGAGATGATTAAGCAGTGATATTTCTCCTCTAAATAGGAATGTTGTACGAATGAGAATGAACAATTAATATATTTTGATCTCATCTCTCTCTCTCTCTCTCGTGAATACACAAACAAATAATCACCTTTGTTTTATTTTAATATTCAACAAAACTATATTTTTTCCGACCTTAAATATTGAGCATCGAGTACATATATTAGCAACACAAACAAAAAATCTAAAAATCTTATTATATGAAAGAGGTGTTTACTCTTTCATGATTAAGTTACATAGGATTCCATATCAGAAAGTCGAGTATTGTTCTTGTGACACATGTCCCATGCATGAAACTCACCGTTTCATTAACTTTGTTGTAGGCTTCGACTGTGTAATCGCGTGTCTGGGCCCGAGAAGATACTGTACGTCCGTAACTTTACTCTTGAAAAATTGATGCATTGGCGTTTCGTTAGTCATCTTCGTTCGACTCCTACGCGGCCAGGGCGGAGCTCAATCCTCTTCTCTTTGAAGGATGGATGGCTGGTCAGCTAACCACCACCAGAAATGTCGAGAGCCTTCCTAGCTTCCCTGAAGGTGTCGACATCGTCGATAAGTTTCATATGCAGTCGGAGCGGTTCTGCACCAAGATCTCCAGGGTGACGGTCACCAAGGTCAATTTCTCCTCAAGCTCTCCGCCGATTCAAGAACTGTGCTCGCTGACGCTGTCATCTTCTCCACCGGAGCTGTCGCGAAACGGCTGAGCTTTGCCGGATCTTGGCGAAGGCGCTGGTGGTTTCGCTGGTGATTAAGAGACAGTCAATCAACATTTTAATTTTAATTTTGTATCGCTGGTGAAAGACGAACTCAGCCAAAAATTTAATTTACCCCCAAATTGATTTTTCTTTTATTGAGTTGGATCGGATGTTTATGGGTCGGGTTGGATTTTGGTTAATGGGGAATCACAGTTCATAAAACGTGATTTACAAATCTATAATTTAGTTTTCAAAATTGGATTAGAAAGGTGGATCTGAGCAGAGCATAAAAGAATAGGGAGAGTTGTAAAGAGATAGGGGTTGATCATGAGCTATGAAGTATAGGTGGGAATAGATAGGGTTGCGGTGTTTATAGGGGTTTTATGCAGTCATCCCTTAATAATAAGGCCTCTCGATGGTCCGTTTGTATTCACTGATTTCTGAATTAAGTTTACAGTCCAAAGGCTTAATTAATTAACCCAACCACCAAATGAAACCAGAATACATGTTAGACTCATCATCGATACCAAAAATCCATAGATTCCAAAGAAATCGCCATCACCATCATAATGTCAAAAATATCTTTTATTAAAAATTAATTAACTGAGATTAAATATAATTAAATGAAAAGTTTATTATTAAAATATTTCAGTGACATATGTTTGTTAGTACTTTAAAATTTCAAAATCATCTTAAAAATAAATCCTTCAGTTTTAGTAGTATTGATTATCTCGTGATTTAAAAATATAGATCAAAATTTAGTTTGTGGCACGTCAGAAAATCAATATGTTTTATTTCTTTCATTTCTCCACTGATTATTTTCCTTTTAATTGAATGTTTGATCAAAAGTATTTAGGTCACATCAAGAGTTACATATGAGTGAATGACAAGTAAAAATGCAATTTTAAAGCTAAAAATTGTGCCAAACAAGAATTGAAAACTCCATCTTAATAGCCGCCATCTCCTATTAACTCTCCTTTTTCAAAGCCGCCTATGCCTCATATTTTTGTCGATGAGAGTTTCTTTCTTTTCAAGTTACTATGCATAATTGATTGAAACCGATAGTTCAAAACAATTATTGATGTCCTACTTTAAGGGTTCTGAAAGGATCGATTTCATTTCAGTTTGATCAAAAGAATATGGTTTGCTTATTGGAAACTAGAGACCACTTATTCTTTAAAATGTGGCTTCTTTATGTAAATCTGAGTAACAGTAATTTACTTTTGTACTTGATCAGTTTAATATGACAGCCAAACTCGCATAAAATATGTGTATAAACTTAAATGTCTAAGACCTAACATCAAAGCAAAGCATCAGACAAGGCACAGTCGATCTGTTGAGCTAACCGTTGATGCATATCTCATTATGCAAAGGTAAGCTGGTGTATTGTCAACGGCTAGGGTTACAATGGTATCACCAAATGCTTACCTCTTCTGAGAGCTGCGTATTTCTGATCATACCAGAGGTATGCATGGCCACAAAACTCTGGCCGCATGTTGTTTCCACCACATCACAACATATGCAAATATGCAGCTACTAAACGTGATTACGAACTTCTAACGGAATAATATATAATGGTTTTAATATGATGAGATTTGTTAAACGAAAATCGTGAAAAGCTTATTAACCGTAGGCTACATGGGATCAAAGCTGCATTTCGATTTGTCCATGTTTTTGTTCACAGCCTGGACGTTGTCTGAATGTAGGGTCGATGCAAACAACAACCTGCACAAATTTTGGAACATAACTGAAAATGTAAGAAAACCTCTATGAAAACCTCATGTTACTCTAAAATTTGTATGCTTCCATGTTCATTAGGCCATGAAAACTTAAGTTTCTAAGCTTCCAAAAAAAGAGTATTTATTATGCTACCTTTCCAGTGCTTTTACCGGAATGCAGATACTCAACAGCATCTGCAACAGCGTTTAGACCTATAAACTTTTTCTCATCAATCCCAACCTACCAAATGTGATAACAAAAAGGCAAGTTGTTAACTTTGGTGAACAAAACTATATGTAAGCAAAAGAAACGTGTGGTTTAAGGTAACACACTTAAGCTTAATTATTACCTTGAGCTTTCCGAGAGAGTAAAGATGGAACAACTTGTCAAGATTTTGTTTCCAGAGCTGACTATATTGCACCAGAAAGAAACCCGCCTGAAACAATATTCAGTTGGAACAAAATCAAATCAAGTAAACCAATACAAGTTTCTCTTAAATCAACATTGTCAGATACTCTTAAGAAAATCTCAACATACCACTGTTTGGCTTTTTGCAAGAATTTTCTCACAGAGCCCTGGATAATTTGCGGGTTGCCATCCCTTCTCGCCTTGATACTGAGAAGAGAGATCAAGTTATTATATCTATACTACTTTAAAATAAAAACAGAAGAACTGATGTATAGACATAATTGTATAAAACGGTACCTGAGAGATCATTCCAATCACGATGAGTCGTCCGTAAACAGCAAGGGCATTCAAGCACAGATCAAACATTCGACCACCTACAGATTCATATATGATATCCACACCCTTTGGGAACTCCTTTTTTAAGACCTGTAAAGATTATGAATATTAGTTGTCTATTAGCCACATACATAACATACTAATAAACACAAAACCAGAGACTCTACCGTCTTGATATCCTCGGCTTTGTAATCTATGACTCGATCAACACCAAGCTCTTTCAATAGCTTGGCCTTCTCTGATCCCCCGCAAGTAGCAATCACCTTATTTCCAGCCAGCTTAGCAAGCTGCATACAGAATCTCACAAATTTTATATTTCTCCTTATAAATACTTTTACAGATGAAAGAGATACGATATGGTTACTGGTTAATACTTTAGAAAATTACAGAACATAAACCATCAGAGATTCAATTTGAGATTTCTTTTGAATACCTGGACAGCGAATTGTCCCGTCCCTCCTGCAGCAGCAGTCACAAGTACTGTTTCACCTGATTTCATTTGTCCTGCCTGTGAATCCCACAAGACAATTAAATTTTCAGACTGCATATCTACATATGTTTGGAATGTTACATGATAGCAAATATGTAACAAACAGATATCTAACAAAGCTTGTCAGTAGTTTAATTCACGACCTTTTCAAGGGCAGTTAAAGCAGTTAATCCTGAGGTAAGCATGGCGACAACTTCTGGATCTGGTCTTGGAACAGGAAGCACGTGCTTAGAAGAAACCTATATCACCAAATGACAGAAATCACATTACCTAATGAAACCTCAAAATGCTGCGCTCAAACGGATTAGGAACTCTCATACTATCATGTATTCAGCGTATGCTCCAAATGTCATAACAGCAGCTGGAGTCCCAACTTGCAAATTCTTAACAGATTCTCCCACTGCTGCAATTAGTCCAACTCCCTGACAAAGTGAAACAGTTTAGGAGTGTTTGATGTAAATTAAAGGCTGGAGAAGTTGAACTTAACAAGAAAGATACCTCAAATCCAGCATCAAAAGGAAGCTTGGGCGAGCCACCGCTAAAGTAACGACCTGAGCTGAAGTTCACCTGCTCATGGTTTACCACAAGGAGAATATAAGAAGACAGTCATCCAGATATATCCGTTAATAAGCTATACAAGACAAAATCCTGGATAGGAAGTAGAATTACAAGATCTTACATCACTTGCGTTTACACCAGCATAAATGATTTTCAGAAGAACTTGGTGTGGTCCAATGGGTAACTGTAGTGGTGCCTGTACTATGCGGGTAGCATTGCGGAAATTATGAGACAAGGCGTGTACAATTCTGAAGAAGAGAGTGAGACATCAGTATGTGTAGTCTAAGAGTAGATAGAAATATATATATATATATATATATATATATATATATATATAGTACATCTGCCTATGTTCTGGTCCCATGTAGCCACATGTTAACTTACATCTTCTCGAAACTTTGAGGAAGTCTGATATTTGAAGTTACTTTAAAGGAATTTTTTTTGCTGGAACTTGAACCAACCAGGTACTTTGCCTGTTCCATCGGAGTCGGCCAATACTCCAAACCCCTGCGGTTGGTAATCCATAGACATGCCCCGGCTTTACTCTCGTCGGTTATAAGCTCAAAAGCACCTAGAGATAAAAAAGATGCCACATTCATGAATTTCAGTATAAGATTGACCTCAGACATACTTGCAATGAGTGGTTGCTCATATGAACCAAAGACTATCAATAGACGGTAAAGCTTAGAATATTTGACAATCCTTAGTGTGTTCCAATTCTTTCTGCACTACTCTACATTTTACTTAACCATATCGATCCCTAAGATATCTAGGTCTTAAGTATGATCAGATATGCAAACACCTTTAATCAACATGTCCATAGACATGTAACCGCCTAGTGACTGCAAGAAGGAATCACCAATAGCTCCAGCTAACTCCGTCTGGATAAACTGCACAAGAGAAGTTCAGAACCAACACTTTAGGCAACACAGGTCTACTTTGGTTGTAACAAACATATCAACGACATAGATATTTGAAGTAAAAGTCAGATATTTGATGAGAGAAAACGAATAATCTAAACTCATCTGGCCCACTCATGACGCGTAAACTTTCATGACATTGACCATGCTTATTGATCATGCATATTGCACCATTTAAACAGTACAATAGAATACATTAACCAAACAGTTTGAGAGACAATTAAAGAGATTCTTCTTACTTCAGGGCAAAGCACATTGATGCGGATACCTTGACGCTTTAAGTATGCTAATGATCTTGTGAATAATACCACACCGCCTGTAGAAACGTAGCATATTAGGATCGCACGATACAATGAAAAGAAACAATAACACACAAGTTAAAAAGAAGAAAACCTTTGGAAGCAGAGTAGATAGGATCTAAAGCCGATGGATAAAGACCCGCAGCTGAGCCCATGTTGATGATAACTCCAGGCTTTTTGTTGGCTTTCATAGCTTTGATCTACACACACACAAAAAATAAAATAAAAAAGCAATAAACCATAGAAGTGGTTAGAGTCCTCCAGAGAAAGACACTATAAGTGAGAGCAGTATGAAATGTAACAAGAAACAACAAAGAAAAAAAGCTCAATGGAAGAAGAGAAGTTACAGCAAGTTGTGTGCATTCGATTACAGCAACGAGGTCCACATTAATGGTGTGTCTCCATGATTTAGAGCCATCAGTATCATCTTTATCAAATTGAACAGAATTAGCAATCCCAGCATTGTTGATGCAGATGTCCAATGTTCCAAACGAGGCCAAATGCTTGTCAAAAGCAGCAACGAGATCACCTGCTCTCATGTTCTAAAAAGAATCAATACAAAAAAAAAAAAAAAAAACTCCTAAAGCACAAAACAGTTTTCTTGATACTCAATTCTCATGAAACTAACCTCTATTGGTGACATCACATTTGAAAAAGATAGCGGAAGGAGAGTTTAGAGAAGGATGGAAAGGAGCATTGGCCTTTTGTACAAGAGAAGTCGTCTCTTTGCCTTTCTCCTCGGAGAAATCAACAACGCTTACGAAGACTCCTCTCTCTGCAAGAGCCAAGCAGAGAGCTCTACCTACACATATATATTTATATATTTTAAACAACTCAATTACTACTAACAAGTACGGGGAAACGTACGTAAATCGGAGGAGATGAAAACTAACCGATCCCGGAGGCGCCGCCGGTGACAAAAGCGGATAAACCAGGCGTGATCTCCATTTGGTTAGAAGATTGAGTGATCGAAAATCCAAATAAAAGACTAACCCCACCACTTTAGTTGTATTTGTATTGTATGTAATAAAGCCCACCCACCGTAGTGTTATATTGTCACACGTCTCTAATTATACGACGACACTCGCTTTAGGTAATCCGGTTTGTATTAACGCCGTAACGACCATTAATAACACGAGCCGTAAGTTAACTTTCTGTCGATGCTTTATTTTTAGAGAGAAAAAAACTCTTGTTTTAGAAGAAAATATTTGAAAGGTGTTCTTCTATGCTTTCCTAGACCATGCAATGTGATAGACTCATAGTATCTTCTATTTATTTCTTTTTTTCGAAAAAAAATGGCACTTTTGTTCTATTTCTAATGTATTTATTTAATATGTTTTAGGTATAAGTATTGGACGTTGATTAGCAAACAAGCGCCTGTAGCTCAGTGGATAGAGCGTCTGTTTCCTAAGCAGAAGGCCGTAGGTTCGACCCCTACCTGGCGCGATTAACTTTTTATATCCACATCTCTTAACCAATTTCTTTAAAATATTATTTGTTGAAAAAGCTTATGGTATTACCTGTAAACTTCCAAAGACCAACAACATTGGCCAAAACTTCCATAAGTTTTTTTCTAACTTCCCATTTTAAAAGGTGAGAACCATCTAGGCACAAAACCAGCAACAAGAAACCAGATGTTGAATATTTTCTAGAGTCAGGTAAAGCCGTAATTAAATTACAGAAAACAGGCTTCAGTTGATTCATTTAACACAAGATTCTTGTTACCCAAGCAATTCCATCAAAGTATTATATTAGGATCCAATCTCAACAAGTCCTTCCGACAAAATGCAAATAGACAAATCAAAATCTGATTACCCCATAAAGTAAGAGGAGACAATGAGGATGATAATGTGATTAGGTGATGAGCTCACCATAACAGCCAACGCCAGATTAGCTTATATCCTTTTAAAGATTTGAACCACTAATCAAATCTCATCGTTCTTGGAAATATAAGCAATTGAAAATACTTCAGCCAAAATATAATTGAAAATATTAGATGTTCTTACACAAACTACAAGAGGCTCTAAAACACAAATGAAAGGGTTAAGATTCTGTTCCGTTTCAGCATTTCATGACACAGAAGATGACATTGAACATCAGATCAAATATGTATACGATAAAACTCATGAGTCCATAGTTCCGAGAATCATATCAATTCGAAGAAGCACGACGTCAATAAGGATTAGAAGATTCTTAGGATAGAAACCCTGCCGTAGAAGATCTCTCAATACTCAGTGAGACGCTTGATAAGATGAGAAGGTTTGAAAGATTAACAACAGCCAATTCCATTTTACAAAAAGATGATGGTCCGCTTGGAACCGGCTTATTGGGTCATAGTAGGCTCGGAAGGCACCGGCCCGTAATCCTTCCACCGTTGAAAGCGGGAGGTGGACGCTGCTCTGTGAAACCAGCCTCACGCAGTCTCCTCCGCTCTAAGAGAGTCCGCACCACAAGCTTTCGCTCGAGCCCGGAGCCTCAACTCCCAACTTGGAATGGGCAGGCCAGTAGATAGCCATCCCGAACCCGGCCCAAAGAGATCGGCCCAATGTCCCATCATCTTATTGTCTCCACTTGGATCACAAGCTTGCGTTACAAAGCTCGACGTACAATGTTTGTTAGCTAAACTTATATATACAACAACCAAAAGCTTGTTTCTTCCGATGTGGGACTTTTAAGACAATATATCCTCATTTTTGTTTTGACATTTCACACTTTGTACTTTCAAATCAATTTGTTACCTTTCAGTTTTGTATTAGTAGCTTCACTGGACATTGCTTTCATGATAACGCTCCATCACATTTTCTTCTCAATTTTTGTTGTTGAAGCACAAACAACTCAAGCAGAGGAACCAAAAAGACTCCAGTCATTAATGGACTCTGAAGATAAGAGTGAGTTTTTAATGACATTGGCATAATATCAGATTGTGAAGCTGGCATCAGAGCTAAACGATCTTCCACAGCATAAGCGCTTTCACTCAGAGGGATGCAAATTTGCAACACACATGAGACTAAAGACATGGAACAACAACAACAAAGCCTTTGTGTGAGACTTTACTAAATGAGAAGAGGTTCATATGCAGCCACTAGCACAACTGCATCAAACTCCTGTATACAAAGATTTACCTCATTTATAGACCGGTGAATCTCAAGAAGCAACAAGCTTATCCAAAAAAAAAAAAAAAAGGAATAGGACATTGATATCATTGTTCTGAACTTCATTGTTCGATGGTGTAACCATTGTTTTCGGAAATTAGCAAAACATCTTGTGTATGAATGAATGTATTTGGCATCTTGTTGAGAAGCAAGATCATCAAGGAGCCAAGAAGCACTGATCGATATTCATTGCTCCCTAACTTCACTCTTCTAATCCAACAAACTCATATATCAAAAGTGATGATTATGACTTATGATTGCTGATTTCTAAAGTTTCTTAAATTGGTGTCCATCCATGTTTTTGTGATGTTGTTGTAATATGTTGGTGATCTCTGGATGTTTGAACGTTAAAATCTACATACGTTTCATCTGTTATTTAACAGGAAATAGGGTCAAAACAAGTTTTTAATTTTAGATTCATAAGAGAAAGATAGTCAAGTTAATGGTCCTTCACCATCCTTTGTAAACAGAAGACTCAGAACCTACCAAACAGAAGAAGACAAGCCCAAAATCTAAAGACTAGATTTGATGAATTCTTCTGATTGTCTCAGAAAGACAAGAAATTTCTTATAAATTTGGTCTGGATAGAAAGAAGTGGTATAAATGTAATTATGAACATAAGCAATATATGCATGACCGTAATATCTACATAGAATAGATGATCTTTGATATTGCATGAAACCGCCCGTTTCTTCTCAGCTCCTTTTATCTCATATAAGCGTTCTGAAGTAAAAGAACTGACCAAAAGAAGAAAAAGGAAACAATAAAAGGTCATGTCGACCACTACTGCTTGTTTTTGAGAGTTTCTTTTGTTGCTTCACTCTCTGTTGTTGTTTTTGAGCCGTTGTTGTTGGTGAATCCATCACCTACTTCAAGGGAAAAAAGAAACAAAAAAACCATATTAGTAGTTTGTGTGTGTGTGTGTGTGTGTGTGCGTGAAAAGGTTTTTTTTAAGCTAGTTTACCAAAATCAAGATTGTTCGAAGAAGCCAGAAATTGAGGAGGCACTTGTTGAACAGGTAATGTCGTATAATCATGTTCCCGAGGACAATTTTCTACTTGTTGATCTGTTAGATGCTGTGGTTGCTGAGATTCTTGTTGCAATATCTGTTGTTGTTGATCTAAATCTCTAGTGAATTGCTCTAAACTCATCAAATCTTGAAAATCAGCACCGTAACTAAAAACATGTGATTGTTGTGGTGCAGCAATCCATGACGACGGGTCAATGAGAGAAGAGATTGAGTTCTCTATATAAGCAAAATCATTAGATGCAATCCACTGATCATAAATATGATCTTGATGCTGATAATGAAGTTGATCAATAGGTTGCTGAAGTTGTGTTACTACAAAAAAAGACACACAAATCAGGTCTTTCATAAAACGATTTGAGTAATAAACTTAACGAGAAACATAATACTGTTCTAACTGTTATTAATTACGTACCTGGTGCAACATTTCTAAGCTCAATTTCTCTAAGTTTGTGCATTAGGTCTACTTGTTGAGCAAGCAAGTCGTTGAATGTAGCTATTTGACGAGCAACTTCACATCGTTTGTAGTATTCTTTGAAGAAATCTGGATTACCTTCATGAAGACGTTCCCAAACTGCAAACAAAAAAAACAAAATTTTACAGGTGAGAAAAATATTTTGTCAGAGTACTGAAATCAAATTTGATTCTTTACTTACTTGCGCTAGTGATAACATGATGAATATGGTAATTTTCATGTAGATACGTAATGGTTTGTTCCAAATTCATATATTTTTTAATACATCTTTCGATTTCCTCCTTGATCTGAAACATAATTTGAAAAGAACTTATAAAAAGTCATGAATATTAAATAATTTAACAGAGAGAGAATACAAAATCATACACGGTTTGTGATCTCTAGAACATTATGGTTTCTATTCATAACTTGAAAAGCCAAGAGGAGAGTTTTGCTCGATAAAAAAGCTTCAATCAAGTGAATAATGAGGTTCTTATTGGTTTGTTTAAGTATGAGTCGGAGGTTGCGCGAAAAAAAAACTAACTAATATAGTTGTTGAGTTCGTTATAGTTTTTATTCGGTTTCTAAATAAGATTCTCAAATATTTGTTTTGATTTTTTAACGATATTTACTCTACTACTTTAATATTTTGTATCGAATAATATTTTTAATTTTTGAAATTTTCAAATATTACCTCGCATCTTTTTGTTCCGTCTTTTTTTCTGTACAAAAAAAATCTGATTCTCTAAAATTCATAGAGTCTAGATACATAGTGTTGCTTAAAATTTATCCCTTTGTTTTTAAATTATAAAATAGTCTTAAATATTCAAGTGGCGAATAAAAAGTTATAGCATATATTTTTTAAGTTATGTAAATATAATTTATGATTTTGTTAGGATATTTCTCCTAATAATTATATATTGGTCAAAATATATAGTAACTTAATAATTTTGTTTTTAAGCAAATCACTTAAAAATATACTAGATTTCGACCCGCACAACCGTGCGGGTATTTTAATATGAAAATATTTGAAATTATATAATAAAATTTATCAATAAATAAGTATAATTTGATTCTTTATGCTATCCAATTTTATAATCATTTTTATGTGACTTATAATATTTTTAATATAAAAGTTATAAATTTGCATTTTTGTAATAATTTTTAAAAATATTACTATGTAAGATTACTAATTTATTTATTTTGTTTTATTTCTAAATTTGAAATCTATGTAAAAATTAATTAAGTTGGACCTACATAATACATAAACAAAATTTTGGGATATTGTAAAAGTATTTTACATATTAATTTTTTGTTTATAAATTAAAAATGAATAAAAATTTTAGTTATATTTTATGATAATTAAAATTTTAATCAAATAATTTTTGAAACTATATCTTGAAAAAGATTCTAAAGATTTTGTTAGAATTTTCTTAAAACTATTTATTTGTATTTCAAACAAAAATTAAAGATATGAAAAGATATTATAATGTTATGTAAAATTTTATAAAACTCTAAAGATGGTCCAAACTAAAATATCACACATGAAGTGAGTCATGACTTCTCTTTTAATATAATAGATAAGCTTACTTGATACTTAAAACACTGACACTTTTCTTTTACTTGCGAGATTATAAATTAAACCTAACTAGAATAAGATCTGGGCTTTGCACAGTATAAAAATTATAAAAAAATATGATATTAAGTAGGTCATATATAATGTGATTATGTAGTAATTCTGCGGTTTTTATCCAAACCGATCTAAATTTTTGATTTCAGTTCGTTTTGATTTTGGTTTAGTTGGGTAAATTTTTGAAAAATGATTTGGTTCGAGGTGTGGTTCGGTTGTTGATTCGTTTAAGAAAAATATAAAAATTAAAAATACCCAAAATAACCAGATTAATCAAATTTAACCAAAATAATTGAATGTACCCAAAATATCTGAGTTTTTAACAAAACTATATCAATTCTCAAAAAGAAAAAAAGATCCGTTATTTTGGACATAAAATTGGAAAATAAAATTAAACGAAAATGTAAACCAGTTAATTTCAAAATTAATTGAATGTACCCAAAATATATGAGTTTTTAACAAAACTTTATCAATTCTCAAAAAAAAAACACATAAAATTAGAAAATAAAATTAAATGAAAATGTAAACCAGTTAATTTCAAAATTAATTTTCAAAATTTTGGTTAACTGAAAATTTGGTTCGGTTCGATTTTGAGAAACCAAAATTGTAGGGCTATAGAGTATTCGATGCACAAAGTCAAACTTCGTACTCAATGTTTAATTTGTATCTACTTTACAAAATATGTATGTGAGTTTAATTTTTGATGGCAAAACCTATTTACTAGAATGAAATTTTAAAAGCATAATATTTATTGTTTGGTTTAGTTTATGCAAATGAATAAATACTAAATAACATATAAACTTGCTATTAACATCCCCTAAATTTTAGAATTGAGTTATGACTATCTATAAGATGCTACCTTAGACTTGGACACGAAATATATACGAAGGATACTTAGGGTCCGACTGGTTTCCCCGCTACCACCGCAAACGCAGCTTTTGCGGTTGATGGCGGTTGCTAGCGTTTTGCAACAATCACAAAAACCGCTACAAATCGCTTCAAACCGCTCTTAACCTCTTAAAATCAAAAGCTGGTTTCAGCTAGCGTTTGCGTTTGCGGGAGATTGCGGGTGGGTAAAAAAAATATTTTTCTTTTAAATTTAAATTAAAATATAAAAATAAAAATAATATAACTAAAACTATATCTACCTTTTATTTTTAATTTAAATTCACTAAAAATATCATAATCTATTTATAAAAACTTTAAATCAAGAATTTTCACTATATTTTTCAATATTAAATATATAAATATATAAATATA